AGGTAACAGGGGCATCAGGGGGAAAGAAACATTTTGCCCATTTGCCTCCGCCTCCACCGGGGATCGAACCTGGAACCTCAGGACTACGAATCCGAAGCGCTGTCCACCCAGCTGTTAGGCGCCCATGTTCCTATCCTTTCCACACGTCCTCTCCCTTCTCACTGAACTCCATCTTTCCCTTCTCCATAGCGAAAGGAGAATCCTTTCTCTCTTCTACCTGTCTCCTTGAGCCTTACCGTCCACCAACACGTGTGCCGTCTCTCCCTGTCCTCTTCCTCCACTCTCATCCTACTGTCAACAGTTTATATTACTCGGGCGTGGATCACCTAATTCCTCCATGCTCAAGTGGCTGGCTAAGGAAGGCTAAGTTCCAGTTGGGCAGCAGTTAGTGCGTCCCGAACCATGCTTTATTGTGGCTGTTCCTGGCTCCTAGTGCCCAGATATATATATATATATATATATATATATATATATATATATATATATATATATATATATATATATATATATATATATATATATATTGGTAGCAGTCTTTCTTGAAAACATATGTAGTTGAATATGACCGAAAGGGTAAGATTAATGATTCTAACACGAATCTTCTGAATATTTCTTACGTTTTTCTTCACTGTCGAGGGAAGTTGAAAAATTAACTCTCCAAAGTTCATTTTTCACAATTTATAATGGTCTGACAATAATAATTCGCATGAAGTTCGTTCCTTTGAAATGTATTTTCTATATACGGAACATCTGAGTAAGTCCATGCAAATGTTGGTGTTGCGTTGTACTTGTTCTGGCCTCCGACCAGAGTCGGAGGTGTCAAGGTGGTTAAAACCATAAACTGCGCCAGCCAATCTCTTTCCAAAATCAAATACCAATGTGTCTACTTCGCCGGGAGAGATACGAGGTCATTGCCGTCGCCAGTGGCCTTTGTACCACCAAATTAAATTAGTCTGGGCTGGGAGGTGGGGGGGGGGGAGTTGTCAGAGGCCGCTGGGGGCGTTTTTCCATAACTATCCAGCAGTGGAATAAGAAGATTTCTTACCCTTTTCTGCCGATAATTCCTTTTTCTCCCTTTCTCTCCTCTCGTCTTGACGACAAGATATTAGTCCAGTAAATAAACTTCTGAGTCGGCATGTCATTAAGGAACCAGTAATCTCGCTTTTTATATTATTTTTAACTTAATGTTTTTGTAATCATTCGTTCACAAGGTATTATCTTGTAAATAATTAAAGTTCTTCAATAGTCGTGTTTTTCTCACTCTGTTCTATTAATAAGATTAGTGTTCAGTAGCAAATGTTCTGAAGTTCCAAATACAACTGCAGGTTCATAGCGGTTATCCTAAACTCGTCTGACGCCTGTCCTTACAAACCCATTTATTCCAAGACCTCAGTAATTGTATTAATTACTAAATAAACTAAAACTTCATACAACGTAACACTCAGGTAGGGGAAGAGGATGAACCAGGAGCCAGATGGGTGCTGATGCCTCCTCCATCTGGCAGATTGTCTTCACGTATATCTTCATGTCCAGCAAACTGGTTCTAAATGAGTCAGACCAGGAAGGAATAATACGTGATGGAGTGAAATTCTTGAGAAAGGCACAGCCAGCATAAGGCTGTTGATTGGTGAGTGTTTTGTGTTGTGATTGGTGAGTGTTTTGTGTTGTGATTGGTGAGTGTTTTGTGTTGTGATTGGTGAGTGTTTTGTGTTGTGATTGGTGAGTGTTTTGTGTTGTGATTGGTGAATGTTTTGTGTTGTTATGATTGGTGAGTGTTTTGTGTTGTTATGATTGGTGAGTGTTTTGTGTTGTTGTGATTGGTGAGTGTTTTGTGTTGTTGTGATTGGTGAGTGTTTTGTGTTGTTGTGATTGGTGAGTGTTTTGTGTTGTTATGATTGGTGAGTGTTTTGTGTTGTTGTGATTGGTGAGTGTTTTGTGTTGTTGTGATTGGTGAGTGTTTTGTGTTGTTGTGATTGGTGAGTGTTGTGATTGCCAACTTTTGGTGGTGCAAGAAGTTCGGCCAGAGGGAAAACTTTGAGAACATTTACCTTGTATATAACAGAAGGTCGGCCAACATTTCTCCAGTGTTGAAGACTCTGTCTGTCTGTCTCTCTCTCTCTCTCTGTCTCTCTCTCTCTCTCTCTCTCTCTCTCTCTCTCTCTCTCTCTCTCTCCCTCTCTCTCTCTCTCTCTCTCTCTCTCTCTCTCTCTCTCTGTCTCTCTCTCTCTCTCTCTCTCTCTCTCTCTCTCTCTCTCTCTCTCTCTCTCTCTCTCTCTCTCTCTCTCTCTCTCTCTCTCTCTCTCTCTCTCTCTCTCTCCCTCTCTCTCTCTCTCTCTCTCTCTCTCTCCTCTCTCTCTCTCTCTCTCTCTCTCTCTCTCTCTCTCTCTCTCTCTCTCTCTCGCTCTCTCTCTCTTCTCTCTGTCTCTCTCTCTCTCTCTCTCTCTCTCTCTCTCTCTCTCTCTCTCTCTCTCTCTCTCTCTCTCTCTCTCTCTCTCTCTCTCTCTCTCTCTCTCTCTCACTCTCTACCAGTTTCACCCACAGTAGCATCGTTTTCCAATATTGTAGCAGTTACTCACCATTCCCTCTCACCCCACACCCCCATTTTCCTTCCTTCTCGTTACTTCCCTCCCACTACCCTTTTAACTTCCTTCTTCTAGCTACTCCTTCCCATTTATTGGAGTTCCTCCTCCTCCAGCTCCATGTGGTGTTTAACTATGACAATACGATTGGCAAATTTTTTGTTAGAATTAACGCTTGTAGTTATTACTGAGTCATTTACAAATTGTAAATGACTCTGTAATAACCTGTAAATCTTGCATTTTTTCTATATAGGTCAAATTTCTAAAGACTTGAAATTTAGAATTTTGCAGCATAAAAATGCTGTAAGAAAAGGTCAATTATATAATGTTTTATTTGTTCATTTGTCAGAAAATTTTCATCAAATTGATTGGGAGAGGTTTTTTTCAATAACAAATTACAGAAACATTTTCACTAAAAACGTTATTGAATGTGCTTTAAAATAGATTACACAACCATTCAATATGAATATTAATAATGGTTTGTACAATTTGCATCCATTTTTAATTATAAATTAAAGAATTATCTTTATAAGATCATTAATACATAGATGTCCCTTTTTGGCTTCTAGGAACGAGCTTGCATTAATCATTAACAATAATGTTTCCAGAAACTCACATGTATACACATGTAGTGAAATAATTATTTCACTACATTCACTACTTTCATTATTGCAGTGTATACATTGTAGTGAAATAATGAAAGTCTACAGTGAAACTCACTGTAAACTTTTTACAGTTTCATCTTGTGGTTACGTATTGACCAATAGGCCTTCACCAGTTTCTTTTTGTTCTTAAATTCTTGAGTCAATATAACAAAGACATTGTTTAACACAACACAAGACACCTTTCTGCCTATATATATTCAAAATGTTATTTTCAGTGATTGTACTTTCGATAATGTGTTGATTAACACAAAAGTGCTCAAGTCAATTCTGGTTTCATTTTTCTTTTGTGGTTAATTATTTTCACATTGTTTATTACGTGTTAATTCTTCGTGATTTACACACACACACACACACACACACACACACACACACACACACACACACACACACACACACACACACACACAGAAGAAAGAAGAAGGGAGAGGGGGGACATGATAGGAACGTATAAAATACTCAGAGGGATTGACAGAGTGGACATAGACGAAATGTTCACACGGAATAGTAACAGAACGAGGGGACATGGATGGAAGCTTGAAATTCAGATGAGTCACAGAGATGTTAGGAAGTTTTCTTTTAGCGTGAGAGTAGTGGGAAAATGGAATGCACTTCAGGAACAGGTTGTGGAAGCAAATACTATTCATAATTTTAAAACCAGGTATGATAGGGAAATGGGACAGGAGTCATTGCTGTAAACAACCGATGCTCGAAAGGCGGGATCCAAGAGTCAGTGCTCGATCCTGCAGACACAACTAGGTGAGTACAACTAGGTGAGTACACACACACAGAGTGGTTGACAAATGGAATGCATTAGGCAGTGATGTGGTGGAGGCTGACTCCATACACAGTTTCAAGTGTAAATATGATAGAGACCAATAGGCTCAGGAATCTGTACACCTGTTGATTGACGGTTGAGAGGCGGGACCAATGTACACTGATTATTCCTGGTATCGTGAAGACAGGTGTTTGTAATGTGTCTGTCTGCTACAGTCTCCTGGCAGGACAGAGTACAGGACGTCCTGCTGGTCCGGTACTGTCGTTCCCTGCTGGCTGTTCGGGTCCACTTTGATCATTGGCACCATGCGGAGTTTGTAAGTAAGTTGGCACCTAAGTTTCCTTCTGGGCTTGTTGGTGAGTTCTCATCTGGGTCTGTGGAAGCTGCTGGTGCAGGCCAGCATCCCTTGTCTCTCTCTCTCTCTCTCTCTCTCTCTCTCTCTCTCTCTCTCTCTCTCTCTCTCTCTCTCTCTCTCTCTCTCTCTCTCTCTCTCTCTCTCTCTCTCTCTCTCTCTCTCTGTCTCTCTCTCTGTCTCTCTGTCTCTCTCTCTCTCTCTCTCTCTCTCTCTCTCTCTCTCTCTCTCTCTCTCTCTCTCTCTCTCTCTCTCTCTCTCTCTCTCTCTCTCTCTCTCTCTCTCTCTCACATTAGCAGCGGTGCTGCCCAAAGCTTAAAAGTAAACCAAAGCTTGGTTTACGAGGTTCTAATTACCAACACCCCCTCCCCCCAACCGACGTCCAATCCCGTGCCTTGTTTGACGACAAGATCACGTCGTAGATCTCCTCTCATTGGCCACATTAGGTCACGTGATCTGATTGTCACTGTGGTGGGATCTAACATCAGAGTATGATGTTGTTTAACGATACTATCAGAACCTTGTAACACAATAACCGTGCAAATGTATGCATGCTGATGCTCGGTGGTTCAGTATGGGCTCTCAGAACACGCCAGAGTCGTCTTCTGTTGTGTTGTGACACTCAGAAGATGGAGCAGCAGTTGACGCAGCAGTTGTCGCAGCAGCTGACGCAGCAGTTGACGCAGCAGCTGACGCAGCAGTTGACGCAGCACCTGACGCAGCAGTTGACGCAGCAGCTGACGCAGCAGTTGACGCAGCAGCTGAAGCAGCAGTTGACGCAGCACCTGACGCAGCAGCTGACGCAGCAGTTGACGCAGCAGCTGAAGCAGCAGTTGACGCAGCACCTGACGCAGCAGCTGACGCAGCAGCTGACGCAGCAGTTGACGCAGCAGCTGAAGCAGCAGTTGACGCAGCAGTTGACGCAGCACCTGACGCAGCAGTTGACGCAGCAGTTGACGCAGCAGCTGACGCAGCAGTTGATAGTGAAGATGGCACAGCAGGTGATACAGCAGCTTACAGCATATAAGTGGGCACCGGATCCAGACGATTGAACAGGATCGAGTTGAGAGTATCAACTGTTTGGAGAAAATAGTTTGAATATGACCTCTTAGGATTCCTGATCTGATACCATCGATCTCTGCCTCCATCAGCAGGTATTCCAACCATTAATCACTCCCTAACAACTGATAATAACGCTTGATGAGTCGAGGGACGTATTGATCAGGACAATTACACACTGAGGGCCTCTGGATGACGTACACACACTTGATTCAATAATGATGTTGACCTCAGCTGAGCTTCTAATGATGAGGATAATTGCTGTCTGGGGTTCTTATTATACATGATGAAGGGACCATTGGTGCTGGTTATCTGGGGAGCAGTGGCTCCTGGCTGTGGGTGTGGGGCTGTGGGTGTGGGGGCTGTGGGTGTGGGGCTGTGGGTGTGGGGGCTGTGGGTGTGGTGCTGTGGGTGTGTGGTGTTGTGGGTGTGGGGCTGTGGGTGTGGTGCTGTGGGTGTGGGGCTGTGGGTGTGGGGGCTGTGGGTGTGGGGCTGTGGGTGTGGGGGCTGTGGGTGTGGGACTGTGGGTGTGGGAGCTGTGGGTGTGGGGGCTGTGGGTGTGGGGGCTGTGGGTGTGGGGCTGTGAGTGTGGGGCTGTGGGTGTGGGGGCTGTGGGTGTGGGGGCTGTGGGTGTGGGGGCTGTGGGTGTGGAACTATGGGTGTAGAGGGTGTGGGTGTGGAGGCTGTGGGTGTGGGACTGTGGGTGTGGAGGCTGTGGGTGTGCTGCTGTGGGTGTGGGGGCTGTGGGTGTGCTGCTGTGGGTGTGGGGGCTGTGGGTGTGGGGGCTGTGGGTGTGCTGCTGTGGGTGTTGAGCTAGTGGGGTCTGTATAAAATGAATGACTAGCAGAGGCAGTTTACTACTGATAAAAGAAGGCTTCTGAACTTAGGTAATGATAGCAGTATAATTACTAGATATCAGCTGGACAATGTTGATCTTAGACTAAGAAACAATGTATTAATATAGGGAATAAAGCAAGTAAGACAGGATGTATTTATAGACACTTTACCAATAACACAAAGTTAATATTATTCAGCTTTATGTTAGTGTATGTTAACATTCAATGTTTAATGTTAACATTACTATTTAATGTTAAGAAACATTATTTAATAATAAAACATCTACTGAAACTACGAATTCATGACTCATTACAACATTTATCTACTGTGTAAAAATTAACTACACACACCGTTGGAGTAACTGGTGCCCGGGTTTTACAAAACTGGTGCCCGGGTTTTACAAAACTGGTGCCCGGGTTTTACAAAACTGGTGCCCGGGTTTTACAAAACTGGTGCCCGGGTTTTACAAAACTGGTGCCCGGGTTTTACAAAAATATTAAAAAAGATGAAAAACAAATTTCTATCGCTTTTTTTGCTAGTGGGTTTACATACTATAAATTTATATTTTTTCCGTGTTTTATAATGTATATTTGAGAGCAGTGTTGCCAAGCTGGATGTGCCGCTCAGGCCTAAAGTATAAAGATTATATTTTGTTAACTTAACATTAATAAACCTTTAAATACTTGAGTAATTAAGAGAATTTAACACCTGAAATCACCTGAAATTTTAAACTCTTTCCCTCACTGCTTACACAAGGTTAAGAAAAATTATTTTCAAGTAAAAAAAAATTGATAATGTAATGGATTTAGAGGGGCATGTTATATTGAAGATCCCTTTGGGACATAATTCTCACCTGCTCGGTAATTATACAAAGTGGTGATATGTTTTACCTGGCCCCTGGAGCCCCGGGTCGTGCCGGGGCTCAGCGCTCACCCTTCATATTAATTATAGAGTTGCGCTCCATATTTCCGAGCGGTGCTTAGGAAAAAATGATTCAGGGGGAAACTGGGCGTCGCGTCCCTCCATAGGCATTCATTGTGGTGTGGTAGGGATATGGTCGGGGCGGCGCTGTGCCTCACTGCTGCAGGTGCTGTGTTTCACTGTTGTAGGTGCTGTGTTTCACTGTTGTAGGCGCTGTGCCTCACTGCTGTAGGTGCTGTGTTTCACTGTTGTAGGTGCTGTGTTTCACTGTTGTTGGCGCTGTGCCTCACTGCTGTAGGCGCCGTGTTTCACTGCTGCAGGCGCTGTGCCTCACTGCTGTAGGCGCTGTGTTTCACTGCTGTAGGCGCTGTGCCTCACTGCTGTAGGTGCTGTGTTTCACTGTTGTAGGCGCTGTGTTTCACTGCTGCAGGTGCTGTGCCTCACTGCTGTAGGTGCTGTGTTTCACTGTTGTAGGCGCTGTGCCTCACTGCTGTAGATGCTGTGTTTCACTGTTGTAGGTGCTGTGTTTCACTGTTGTAGGTGCTGTGTTTCACTGCTGCAGGCGCTGTGCCTCACTGCTGTAGGCGCTGTGTTTCACTGCTGCAGGTGCTGTGCCTCACTGCTGTAGGCGCTGTGTTTCACTGCTGTAGGTGCTGTGTTTCACTGTTGTAGGCGCTGTGCCTCACTTCTGTAGGTGCTGTGTTTCACTGTTGCAGGCGCTGTGTCTCACTGCTGTAGGCGCTGTGTTTCACTGCTGTAGGCGCTGTGTTTCACTGCTGCAGGTGCTGTGCCTCACTGCTCCAGGCGCTGTGCCTCACTGCTGCAGGCGCTGTGCCTCACTGCTGCAGGCGCTGTGCCTCCCTGCTGCAGGCGCTGTGCCTCCCTGCTGCAGGCGCTGTGCCTCACTGCTGCAGGCGCTGTGCCTCACTGCTGCAGGCGCTGTGCCTCACTGCTGCAGGCGCTGTGCCTCACTGCTGCAGGCGCTGTGCCTCACTGCTGCAGGCGCTGTGCCTCCCTGCTGCAGGCGCTGTGCCTCACTGCTGCAGGCGCTGTGCCTCACTGCTGCAGGCGCTGTGCCTCACTGCTGCAGGCGCTGTGCCTCACTGTTGCAGGCGCTGTGCCTCACTGCTGCAGGCGCTGTGCCTCACTGTTGCAGGCGCTGTGCCTCACTGTTGCAGGCGCTGTGCCTCACTGTTGCAGGCGCTGTGCCTCACTGTTGCAGGCGCTGTGCCTCACTGCTGCAGGCGCTATGCATCACTGTTGCAGGCGCTGTGCCTCACTGCTGCAGGCGCTGTGCCTCACTGCTGCAGGCGCTGTGCCTCACTGTTGCAGGCGCTGTCCCTCACTGCTGCAGGCGCTGTGCCTCACTGCTGCAGGCGCTGTGCCTCACTGCTGCAGGCGCTGTGCCTCACTGCTGCAGGCGCTGTGCCTCACTGCTGTAGGCGCTGTGCCTCACTGCTGCAGGCGCTGTGCCTCACTGCTGCAGGCGCTGTGCCTCACTGCTGCAGGCGCTGTGCCTCACTGCTGCAGGCGCTATGCCTCACTGCTGCAGGCGCTGTGCCTCACTGTTGCAGGCGCTGTCCCTCACTGCTGCAGGCGCTGTGCCTCACTGCTGCAGGCGCTGTGCCTCACTGCTGCAGGCGCTGTGCCTCACTGCTGCAGGCGCTGTGCCTCACTGCTGTAGGCGCTGTGCCTCACTGCTGTAGGCGCTGTGCCTCACTGCTGTAGGTGCTGTGCCTCACTGCTGCAGGCGCTGTGCCTCACTGCTGCAGGCGCCCTCCACTACATTGCTGCACCTGTGGTTGATTGCTCAATAAATCACTAAGCTATATGTTTAACAAATCTCTCACCCTGTCCATGGAGGACAGAAGAAAATGTATATATAATGGTTAGCATTGTAAATGTCTGGCCACGTCTGTGGTAGAAACAAAACCTGCCTGGAACCCGAACTGAGCAACGATTAGCTGTGAATCGACTGTAGTTCATATTGCTGTATTTACCCTGATTTTGTTTTACATATTGACGATTTCTGTAGAATTGTGTAATTGTGGTAGTGTCAATGAGCCTAGAACCTAATTATTTGAGACAACTTATGGCATCCTGTCCCGAGGGAGCAAGGTCTCAGATGCTATGGGGACAACTGTGTACCGATGTTCCAGTTGCTAGCTTGACCAATTTTACTGCTGCCCTGTGATTGGCCACTCCACATGTCTGACCAACACTGGTGGAGATGTAGGTGTCAGGCCCTGTGATTGGTCACTCCACATGTCTGACCAACACTGGTGGAGATGTAGGTGTCAGGCCCTGTGATTGGTCACTCCACATGTCTGACCAACACTGGTGGAGATGTAGGTGTCAGGCCCTGTGATTGGTCACTCCACATGTCTGACCAACACTGGTGGAGATGTAGGTGTCAGGCCCTGTGATTGGTCACTCCACATGTCTGACCAACACTGGTGGAGATGTAGGTGTCAGGCCCTGTGATTGGTCACTCCACATGTCTGACCAACACTGGTGGAGGTGTAGGTGTCAGGCCCTGTGATTGGTCACTCCACATGTCTGACCAACACTGGTGGAGGTGTAGGTGTCAGGCCCTGTGATTGGTCACTCCACATGTCTGACCAACACTGGTGGAGGTGTAGGTGTCAGGCCCTGTGATTGGTCACTCCACATGTCTGACCAACACTGGTGGAGAGGTAGGTGTCAGGGTGGATACACTTGTTTACTTGTAATTAAACAAGTGTACTGTTATTCCTGCGTGTGTATTATGACACCATCTGGGGGAGTGTTGGAATAGCAGTGATTTGGGCATCAAAAAATAGGGGTTCTCTCTCTGCTGGGCACTGGGGTGTGGGGAGGTTCTCTCTCTGCTGGGCACTCGGGTGTGGGGAGGTTCTCTCTCTGCTGGGCACTGGAGTGTGGTGGGGTTCTTTCTCTGCTGGGCACTGGGTTGTGGGGAGGTTCTCTCTCTGCTGGGCACTGGGGTGTGGCGAGGTTCTCTCTCTGCTGGGCACTGGATTGTGGGGAGGTTCTCTCTCTGCTGGGCACTGGGGTGTGGGGAGGTTCCTCCTGATGATGTCATTAACTTAATTTTTGTCTTGCATGCCAGACCATGCAAGCCATATGGATAGGCTTCCATCTTGTTGCAAATACGCTTAATTGTACCTCATTTGAGGTACCATGGTAGAGAGCCACTTCAATGGGGGTGGGGGGAGGCAGCGAAGACTCTAAGCCTTAGAACTTAGAGCACGCCGCAGTGTCACAGCACGAGGAAGCTCTCATTAGAGTCTAAGTAGAGGACTTCCAGTACTACTTCTTTTACAAGCTAATTCAGTCCACACGAGAGGCAACTATTAAAGATTAAATGGGGAAAGAAAAACGGAATTATTCAAGGAATACCACAAACATAAGAGAGAGTGAGGGAGGGAGGGAGTGAGGGAGAGTGAGGGGAAGAGGTGAGAGAGAGAGGGAGGTAGTGAGGGAGAGTGAGGGGAAGAGGTGAGAGAGAGAGAGGGAGGTAGTGAGGGAGCTTGAGGGGAAGAGGTGAGAGAGAGAGGGAGGTAGTGAGGGAGAGTGAGGGGAAGAGGTGAGAGAGAGAGAGGGAGGTAGTGAGGGAGCTTGAGGGGAAGAGGTGAGAGAGAGAGGGAGGTAGTGAGGGAGAGTGAGGGGAAGAGGTGAGAGAGAGGGAGGGAGGGAGGGAGTGAGGGAGAGTGAGGGGAAGAGGTGAGAGAGAGAGAGAGAGGGAGGGAGGTAGTGAGGGAGAGTGAGGGGAAGAGGTGAGAGAGAGAGGGAGGTAGTGAGGGAGAGTGAGGGGAAGAGGTGAGAGAGAGGGAGGGAGTGAGGGAGAGTGAGGGGAAGAGGTGAGAGAGAGAGGGAGGTAGTGAGGGAGAGTGAGGGGAAGAGGTGAGAGAGAGAGAGAGAGGGAGGGAGGTAGTGAGGGAGATATAATAGAGAGGAAAGCGCTTGTGGGTTACCTTCCCGTCTTTAATTGAGTTATGGGAAGTCAAGCCACGCCCTGATGCCTCACACCATGGGAGAACGTGGGTGACGCCTCACACCATGGGAGAACGTGGGTGATGCCTCACACCATGGGAGAACGTGGGTGATGCCTCACACCATGGGAGAACGTGGGTGATGCCTCACACCATGGGAGAACGTGGGTGATGCCTCACACCATGGGAGAACGTGGGTGATGCCTCACACACCATGGGAGAACGTGGGTGATGCCCCACACCATGGGAGAACGTGGGTGATGCCCCACACCATGGTAGAACGTGGGTGATGACCCACACCATGGGAGAACGTGGGTGATGCCTCACACCATGGGAGAACGTGGGTGATGCCTCACACCATGGGAGAACGTGGGTGATGCCTCACACCATGGGAGAACGTGGGTGATGCCTCACACCATGGGAGAACGTGGGTGATGCCTCACACCATGGGAGAACGTGGGTGATGCCTCACACCATGGGAGAACGTGGGTGATGCCTCACACCATGGGAGAACATGGGTGATGCCTTACACCATGGGAGAACGTGGGTGATGCCTCACACCATGGGAGAACGTGGGTGATGCCCCACACCATGGGAGAACGTGGGTGATGCCTCACACCATGGGAGAACGTGGGTGATGCCTCACACCATGGGAGAACGTGGGTGATGCCTCACACCATGGGAGAACGTGGGTGATGCCTCACACCATGGGAGAACGTGGGTGATGCCCCACACCATGGGAGAACGTGGGTGATGCCCCACACCATGGTAGAACGTGGGTGATGCCTCACACCATGGGAGAACGTGGGTGATGCCTCACACCATGGGAGAACGTGGGTGATGCCCCACACCATGGGAGAACGTGGGTGATGCCCCACACCATGGTAGAACGTGGGTGATGCCTCACACCATGGGAGAACGTGGGTGATGCCTCACACACCATGGGAGAACGTGGGTGATGCCTCACACACCATGGGAGAACGTGGGTGATGCCCCACACCATGGGAGAACGTGGGTGATGCCTCACACCATGGGAGAACGTGGGTGATGCCTCACACACCATGGGAGAACATGGGTGAGGCCTCACACACCATGGGAGAACATGGGTGATGCCCCACACCATGGGAGAACGTGGGTGATGCCTCACACACCATGGGAGAACGTGGGTGATGCCTCACACACCATGGGAGAACGTGGGTGATGCCTCACACACCATGGGAGAACGTGGGTGATGCCCCACACCATGGTAGAACGTGGGTGATGCCCCACACCATGGGAGAACGTGGGTGATGCCTCACACCATGGGAGAACGTGGGTGATGCCTCACACCATGGGAGAACGTGGGTGATGCCTCACACCATGGGAGAACGTGGGTGACGCCCCACACCATGGGAGAACGTGGGTGACGCCTCACACACCATGGGAGAACGTGGGTGACGCCTCACACACCATGGGAGAACGTGGGTGATGCCCCACACACCATGGGAGAACGTGGGTGATGCCCCACACACCATGGGAGAACGTGGGTGACGCCTCACACACCATGGGAGAACGTGGGTGACGCCTCACACATCAACGGATAACGTACAAGAGTACAGTAAGCTTCATGCTGACCTACAACATGCTGACCTACAACATGCTGACCTACAACATGCTGACCTACAACATGCTGATTTACAACATGCTGACCTACAACATGCTGACCTACAACATGCTGACCTACAACATGCTGACCTACAACATGCTGACCTACAACATGCTGATTTACAACATGCTGACCTACAACATGCTGACCTACAACATGCTGACCTACAACATGCTGACCTACATCATGCTGACCTACAACATGCTGACCTACAACATGCTGACCTACAACATGCTGATTTACAACATGCTGACCTACAACATGCTAACCTACAACATGCTGACCTACAACATGCTGACCTACATCATGCTGACCTACAACATGCTGACCTACAACATGCTGACCTACAACATGCTGACCTACATGCTGACCTACAACATGCTGACCTACAACATGCTGACCTACATCATGCTGACCTACAACATGCTGACCTACAACATGCTGACCTACAACATGCTGATTTACAACATGCTGACCTACAACATGCTGACCTACAACATGCTGACCTACAACATGCTGACCTACATCATGCTGACCTACAACATGCTGACCTACAACATGCTGACCTACATCATGCTGACCTACATGCTGACCTACAACATGCTGACCTACAACATGCTGACCTACATCATGCTGACCTACAACATGCTGACCTACAACATGCTGACCTACAACATGCTGACCTACAACAAGCTGACCTACAACATGCTGACCTACAACATGCTGACCTACAACATGCTGACCTACATCATGCTGACCTACAACAAGCTGACCTACAACATGCTGACCTACAACATGCTGACCTACAACATGCTGACCTACAACATGCTGACCTACAACATGCTGATTTACAACATGCTGACCTACATCATGCTGACCTACAACATGCTGACCTACAACAAGCTGACCTACAACATGCTGACCTACAACATGCTGACCTACAACATGCTGACCTACAACATGCTGACCTACAACAAGCTGACCTACAACATGCTGACCTACAACAAGCTGACCTACAACATGCTGACCTACAACATGCTGACCTACAACAAACTGTTAGAATGATCAAAACGGGAGCCTTGAGGTCACCTGAGTTGACCTCAGGTGTCGCGATGTTATAACAGAGTGAGGGAACTGGGTGCTGGTAACAGGAGGCAGAACACGACAAGCCAGTAGATTTGTCTACTGGTAGATAGGTGGTTTCCTTTTCTACCAGTAGAAAAGAAAACCTTTCAAGGATATGTATAGATCCTTGGGTTAATATCACAAAGAACATGTTCAATTAATGACTAATTCAAGCGGATATCAGTAGCGGAATGTGGTAGATTGGCCAGTACAAGGATTGTGTTTAGAAATCGTCCTAACGAATCATTCAGGGCGATATATTTCACGTATATAACACCAATCTTTAACTATGCTGCACCTGTGCGGATTGGAAAAATCTAATTTTTATGCTGCCAGACTAGTCGAAGAATTAATGTGAATAAGTTACGTGTGCCTCACTCATTAATGTGTGAATGAGGTGAATTGGAAAGAGCAAATGAACTGAACTTCAGTAGAAGTTAAAAGAACCATGGGAGACATGATTTCCACATACAAAATTCCCGTGGGAAGTGACTTCTCACAGTGTCTCAAGCTTGGAAGCTGGAGACACAGATGAGGCAGGACCAGAGGACACGGGTGGAAGCTGGAGACACAGATGAGGCAGGACCAGAGGACACGGGTGGATGCTGGAGACACAGATGAGGCAGGACCAGAGGACACGGGTGGAAGCTGGAGACATAGATGAGGCAGGACCAGAGGACACGGGTGGAAGCTGGAGACATAGATGAGTCAGGACCAGAGGACACGGGTGGAAGCTGGAGACATAGATACCAGAGGACACGGGTGGAAGCTGGAGACATAGAGATACCAGAGGGACACGGGTGGAAGCTGGAGACATAGATACCAGAGGACACGGGTGGAAGCTGGAGACACAGATGAGGCAGGACCAGAGGACACGGGTGGATGCTGGAGACACAGATGAGGCAGGACCAGAGGACACGGGTGGAAGCTGGAGACACAGATGAGGCAGGACCAGAGGACACGGGTGGAAGCTGGAGACACAGATGAGGCAGGACCAGAGGACACGGGTGGAAGCTGGAGACACAGATGAGGCAGGACCAGAGGACACGGGTGGAAGCTGGAGACATAGATGAGGCAGGACCAGAGGACACGGGTGGAAGCTGGAGAAACAGATGAGGCAGGACCAGAGGACACAGGTGATGCTAAATATCTATGTATTTACGTATGTAGGTTAGCTTAGCATTTTAAAAGCACCGAATCACCTTCTGTGGTTGATTGTTCAATAAATCCCTGAACTATATGTTTAACAGATCTCTAACCCTGTCCATGGAGGACAGAAGAAAATGTATATATGCTGGTTAGCATTGTAAATGTGTGGCCACGTCTGTGGTAGAAGCACACACACACACACACACACACACACACACACACACACACACACACACACACACACACACACACACACACACACACACACACACACACACACACACACACACACACACACACACACACATACACACACACACACACACACACACACACACACACACACACACACACACACACACACACACACACACACACACACACACACACACACACACACACACACCCACACAACCAAACAAAAGTACTAGCACTGTTACGGGTCGTGTTAGGAATAATGTGAGAATTATTACGCCAACCCCCACCCCGCTGCGCCACCATGTTAATACCAGAGCCTGAATTTAGATCGGTCATTCATTTGAAATTCGCCAGGAGGGAAAAAGAAAAACTGAAAGGATTAATTTATCTCTCGCATGCACCTACTTGCCAAAACGCTTCCGTTCCCATTCTCTGAATATTTATCTATATTGAAATATGTATCTCCAGGCAGATCGACGCCACAAATACACATTTATTGATTTGTAAAATGTCGATGTTGTCCGATTGGCTTCAATATTGTCCAGCATAGCGCCAGTATTGACCAGTTGGCGCCCATGTCACCTCACCCCCCTAGCCTCATCGCCCCTACATAGTCACTACATTCTCGATGATCAACAGATCTAAGTATTATATATGTACTTGAACCCATTTTTATGTGGAAATACACATTCAAGCCATCCATTTTATCTTACTGGAGGACCGCATTCCATTGTATATTATTAATTAAAGAGGCTGTTAATAATGGTTATCTTGAGGTTATCTTGAGATGATTTCGGGGCTTTTTAGTGTCCCCGCGGCCCGGTCCTCGACCAGGCCTCCACCCCCAGGAAGCAGCCCGTGACAGCTGACTAACACCCAGGTACCTATTTACTGCTAGGTAACAGGGGCATAGGGTGAAAGAAACTCTGCCCATTGTTTCTCGCCGGGGCCTGGGATCGAACCCAGGACCACAGGATCACAAGTCCAGCGTGCTGTCCGCTCGGCCGACCGGCTCCCTCCGGTATATTTGATATTAAAATTATGAGTACTATATAGGATATAGTACCAGGCGCTATAGCTCAGTATAGGAGCGAGGAGCATGTGGGTAAATGTGGTGGCTGAACATGAGTGGGAATCATGAGGTTGAATGAGGCGTGGATAGTGGATCAACCAGGCTGTCTGGATCTGGACGGTGGATCAACCAGGCTGTCTGGATCTGGACGGTGGATCAACCAGGCTGTCTGGATCTGGACGGTGGATCAACCAGGCTGTCTGGATCTGGACGGTGGATCAACCAGGCTGTCTGGATCTGGACGGTGGATCAACCAGGCTGTCTGGATCTGGACGGTGGATCAACCAGGCTGTCTGGATCTGGACGGTGGATCAACCAGGCTGTCTGGATCCTGACGGTGGATCAACCAGGCTGTCTGGATCTGGACGGTGGATCAACCAGACTATCTGGATCCTGACGGTGGATCAACCAGGCTGTCTGGATCTCTCACACGCTAAACACTAAAGTCTTCACCACTAAACATGAAGTCTTCAGTAAATAATTTTACAATAATAATTTTTGTTTAAATATCAAATGCTCTGTCGTTTTTGTCATAATACAAAGTAACCTTTGCTATTTTTTATTCTATTTTTATACATTCAGAATGTATAGAAGTTAGACATTTATGACTCAATGACCGAATTACTGATAACTGGGTCACCACATTTTGAGGTTTAGAAATGAATCCACTTCCATTAAATCCATTAAACAAGAACACAATATAAAAAAAATTGTTGGTGGCAAAACATAGACAATGAACACACACACTGCTAATACTCCAGTGGATCCATCCACCTGCCCACTGGGGCAAACTTTCATCATTCCCACTGGGTACAGATCATTCCCACTGGGTACTGATCATTCCCCACTGGGTACAGATCATTCCCACTGGGTACAGATTCCCACTGGGTATAGATCATTCCCACTGGGTACAGATCATTCCCACTGGGTACAGATCATTCCCCACTGGGTACAGATCATTCCCACTGGGTACAGATCATTCCCACTGGGTATAGATCATTCCCACTGGGCACTCCAGTAGTGTCGTACCTCCTGCATGTTGCTGTTGTTGTTGTTCCTGAATAATAAAGGTGTATTGTGAAGGACTGGACGCGGTTGCCAGCGCTCGCCTGCCATACACAACGTCATTGTAATTGTAGTAAATAGTGTTAGCGCTGCCTTTATATTGAAGGGTAAATCGCAGGGGTTATTTTTATGGCCTCTGCCCATGCACGGTTGTGGCTAGTGTTGAGTGTTGTGGTATGAGGATGTTGTACTTTGCTGGGGCAACATACTCATACATAACGCTACATACATCACCATAAAGGTTGTAAACAACGGTGGGAAGATATCTTTGTCCAAGTTGCTGAAGGATAGCAGGACGTTTGCCAGCATGGCATATGCTGCCTTTGTTATCCTGCTGATGGGTGCCTCTGGTGATGGATCTTGAGTTATGTTCACTCATAAGTCTTTATATTTTTCAGAAGTTGGAAGCCGCCTTCCCCTCTTCTAGTACTGTATCTGAGGTCTGCTTGCTCTAACTCATATTCTCATAACCTTGCATTTGTCAGGGCTAATGTCTAGTAGCCATTTTCAGACCATGCCTGGAGATTGTTTAGTTCATCTTGTAATGAGTGCTCCTCAGTCCTGATTCGCCTCGTTACCTTAGCATCATCAGCAAACATAGATAAATGTGTGTGTGTCGGTGTGTACTTACCTAGTCGTGCTTGCAGGGGTTGAGCTCTGGCTCTTTGGTCCCGCCTCTCAACTGTTAATCAACAGGTGTACAGGTTCCTGAGCCTACTGGGCTCTATCATATCTACACTTGAAACTGTGTATGGAGTCAGCCTCCACCACATCACTGCCTAATGCATTCCATTTGTTAAAAAATGGAATTCACTAGGCATTCAGACACTAAATATTTTCTTTGTTATGTCTCAGTGACTCGTTTATGTTCTCAGTTACCACCTGCGTTCCCTTGTGCGTGTTCCAGCTGTGTTAAATCAACTGTATTTACACTATCAATTTCTCTGATAATCTGGTATGTGGTGATCATATCCCCTAACTCTTCTGTCTTCCAGCGACGTGAGGTTCAGTTCTCGTAGAATCTCTTTGTAGCTCATACCCCTCAGCTCGGGTACAAGTCTAGTGACATACCTTTGAACCTTGTACAATTTAGTCTTGTGCTTGACCTGATACGGACTCCATGCTGGGGCTGCACACTACACGTCTCAATTAATGAATAACTGTTATGAAGTTAATTATACACTTAGCTGTATGTGAACGATGTGTAATGTTAACTGTATGACAGAAAGAATGACTACCGTGAACTGTATCGGTAGCTACAGTGCCGACTGTGTGATATAAACTACTCCCTGTTAAACTTTTTTTTTACCATTTGAATTGCATGCACCTTTTTTCCCAATGTTTTTCGTATTTTCCCAAATAAACACAGCACGGGTTCATGTCTCTTCTGGTATTGGCAATTAGCGGATTGGGTTCCCCGCTAATGCCAGTTAAAATCAGTAGTGATTTTCAGATATGTTCAGGCCAGGTAAGTATCTTGGCTTTAGATCTAATACCATAAATGGACTGTCATGGGAGTAAATATTTGTGGAGTTCAGTAGAACGTCCGACGGCCGGTGTTGCGTTCATTTCAGGTCCAATACATCGGTGGGGATGCATATGTATATGTCTGAGCCAGCGGTTATTACGCTCCTCTGATTAAATGGTGCAATTGTGGGTGAGGGAGTTGAGATCTTCTGCTGGGATACGCTTGTCGGTGTGGTTGGCTGCCCTGCAGAGGACGGCAACTATGTGGTTGTGGTTGTCATGGTTGGCTGCCCTGCAGAGGACGGCAACTATGTGGTTGTGGTTGTCATGGTTGGTTGCCCTGCAGAGGACGGCAACTACGTGGTTGTGGTTGTCATGGTTGGTTGCCCTGCAGACGGTGGAGCGAGTGGTTGTGGTTGTCATGGTTGGTGGTGCTCCTCCAAACATGGTTGTTATTCAGCCACATAATGGTAAACATAACAGCAAGAGACCACATGATCAGGCTGGGGAAACAGTGGTATACTGGTATAATGGTATACTGGTATACTGGTATAGTGTAAAACCCTGATTGTATATCAGACGATACCTCAGGAATCGTAGAGGATTCAGTTCAATCAAAGGTTGCATTACGTAGCATATCATGGCCTAGTGGCTTAAGACGTGTGTTTGGGCGAGTACCCAGTGTGCAGGTTCGAATCCTCCTTACGGATCTACTGATTTATCATCATTATATTTATTATTATTATAATTACACAATTATTATTGCACAATGAAATCGCATTAACGTCATGTATCAATGATAAAGTCAGTAGGCGCCGTGTGAAGGGTTCGAACCCATTTACATGGTGATGCCAAGCCCACGTCCTGAACCACTACACCACGACATGTTCACAGTGAGGCTGCCAAGCCGCCTCATGCCTCCTGGAGATTTTATTATTATTTATATAGTAATCACATTTATTAATTATTTACAGTTTTAATAATAAAGCCATAACTACTGTACCATTGTTAAGAGAGGACAATTAGATGTGTGTGTCAGTATAACCGGCGCTACTTGGTCCGGGTAGAGCGTTATGCTAAAAGTATAATAATATATGTGCTGAGTGGAGCTAATATCATTTTGGAGCCCAAAAAATGGTGGTAAAATTTGTAATAAGTCCAGAGAACACCTCTGGATAGCGGGATTTAGGGCCTAATTTGCATATTGATGAGTAAATGATAGCTAATTGAAATCTATGATTCAAAAATGTGCGTTGTGCATATATTAACTGTAGGAGCGTCGGGCTCACTGTAGGAGCGTCGGGCTCACTGTAGGAGCGTCGGGCTCACTGTAGGAGCGTCGGGCTCACTGTAGGAGCGTCGGGCTCACTGTAGGAGCGTCGGGCTCACTGTAGGAGCGTCGGGCTCACTGTAGGAGCGTCGGGCTCACTGTAGGAGCGTCGGGCTCACTGTAGGAGCGTCGGGCTCACTGTAGGAGCGTCGGGCTCACTACCACGCTTGAAAGACAAGTTAATTTTTGCTTTTGTTTTTGGCTTGCTAAAGTTTTTAATTAGATTTTTGGTCCGGCTGTTTATGGGGATTCTTGTCCAGCAGTTTATGGAAGGAGCGACGCCTTTGTCTACTATTATATATGTACTCACATATAATATGTAGATCGCGTTAATTAGTTGATTAAGCCCGATGTTGTCTTATTTCTGTTGTAACAATATTGTAGGGTTGTAAATCCTTTTGTTGTTGGTGTATTGGTTGTAAACATCTATTTTGCCACTCAATCAATACCTTAAGAATTTTATGGATCTCAATCGAGTTTTCCATCTCTTTTTCTAGCGACGTCAGGTGTAGTTTTTTTTGTCTTTCTTCATAACTCATGCCTCACATTTTCGGGAGAGTCTCATTGCAAACCTCTGACACGGTGTGTGTCGTGGTGTGGTCGGGTGGGTATGACTGATGCCCACAGTAGGAGAGCAACAGGTAAAGGATCTGGCAATAATGATGTCTGACAACCAAATGTTTGTCGTTGTTGTTGTTGGTTGAGGGTCGACGAGAATAGAGGGATCGTAGGCGTCCCCGGGTGCCCGATACCAAGAAATAGCGAAGAGGGATGGGATCCCCTAGCTCTTCCAGGTCACGGACTTGTTTACCATTACCGTTCACAAGTGGGACCTGTGTTTACATACACACAAGGTATAATACTCTGCCTCAGACTTAATGTTTATCTGTAGCTTCCACATTTTGGCTCCTATCCTTGTTTAAGGCTCGGGCTCTTGCACACACTGTGAAGGATAGTGATGACCAGACCACACACTAAAAGGTGAAGGGACGACGATGTTTCGGTCCGTCCTGAACCATTCGCCAGGACGGACCGAATCGACTTGAGAATGGTCCAGGACGGACCGAAACGTCGTCATCCCTTCACCTTCTAGTGTGTGGTCAGGTCAACATACTTCAGCCACGTTATTGTGACTCATCGCCTGCCTGTGAAGGATAGTCTTACGGTTGCTGCTTCTATTCTTTAACACCTATCCTATGAACTACTTTTATTATACCATCATATTATTTAAATGCAGTACATCCATATTAATTCTGTAAATATAATTAACATTGCGGTATTTTCCTTATTGTGACGCTGTCAGTCCCTTCCTGTTGCCTCGACAAGTTGCCTCTGCTTCCAGGCTGTATTTTAGTGTAAGTATCTCTCATTTGTGAGACTGTCGCCTTTCAATCTTTATTTCCCACTCAATATTTCACACTCTGTGTCGTTCACTGGAGGAAACTGCTTCACACAGACTGATTTGCATATATTTTTCTTGTTATCCTTTTCCTGTTCCCTGCATCGCACTAGGCGGCCCTTGCTGTATGTTATCGGTGCCCCTGGCCTACTGTATGTTATCGGTGCCCCTGGCCTGCTGTATGTTATCGGTGCCCCTGGCCTGCTGTATGTTATCGGTGCCCCTGGCCTGCTGTATGTTATCGGTGCCCCTGGTCTGCTGTATGTTATCGGTGCCCCTGGCCTGCTGTATGTTATCGGTGCCCCTGGCCTACTGTATGTTATCGGTGCCCCTGGCCTGCTGTATGTTATCGGTGCCCCTGGCCTACTGTATGTTATCGGTGCCCCTGGTCTGCTGTATGTTATCGGTGCCCCTGGCCTGCTGTATGTTATCGGTGCCCCTGGCCTACTGTATGTTATCGGTGCCCCTGGTCTGCTGTATGTTATCGGTGCCCCTGGTCTGCTGTATGTTATCGGTGCCCCTGGCCTGCTGTATGTTATCGGTGCCCCTGGCCTACTGTATGTTATCGGTGCCCCTGGTCTGCTGTATGTTATCGGTGCCCCTGGTCTGCTGTATGTTATCGGTGCCCCTGGCCTACTGTATGTTATCGGTGCCCCTGGCCTGCTGTATGTTATCGGTGCCCCTGGTCTGCTGTATGTTATCGGTGCCCCTGGTCTGCTGTATGTTATCGGTGCCCCTGGCCTGCTGTATGTTATCGGTGCCCCTGGCCTACTGTATGTTATCGGTGCCCCTGGTCTGCTGTATGTTATCGGTGCCCCTGGTCTGCTGTATGTTATCGGTGCCCCTGGCCTACTGTATGTTATCGGTGCCCCTGGCCTGCTGTATGTTATCGGTGCCCCTGGTCTGCTGTATGTTATCGGTGCCCGCGGTCTGCTGTATGTTATCGGTGCCCCTGGTCTGCTGTATGTTATCGATGCCCCTGGTCTGCTGTATGTTATCGGTGCCCCTGGCCTACTGTATGTTATGTCGCGTTGGGTCGTGTTGGACAGTTTTGCGTCGCGTTAGGTCGTGTTGGACAGTTTTCTGTCGCGTTGGGTTGTGTTGGACAGTTTTGCGTCGCGTTGGGTCGTGTTGGACAGTTTTGCGTCGCGTTGGGTCGTGTTGGACAGTTTTGCGTCGCGTTGGGTCGTGTTGGACAGTTTTGTGTCGCGTTGGGTCGTGTTGGACAGTTTTGTGCCCCTGGTCGTGCTGTATGTTATCGGTGCCCCTGGCCTACTGTATGTTATCGGTGCCCCTGGGTCGTGTTGTATGTTATCGGTCGCCCTGGTCTGCTGTATGTTATCGGTGCCCCTGGCCGTGTTGTACAGTTTTGTGTCGCGTTGGGTCGTGTTGGACAGTTTTCTGTCGCGTTGGGTCGTGTTGGACAGTTTTGCGTCGAGTTGGGTCGTGTTGGACAGTTTGTGTCGCGTTGGGTCGTGTTGGACAGTTTTGCGTCGCGTTGGGTCGTGTTGGACAGTTTTGTGTCGCGTTGGGTCGTGTTGGACAGTTTTGTGTCGCGTTGGGTCGTGTTGGACAGTTTTGTGTCGCGTTGGGTCGTGTTGGACAGTTTTGTGTCGCGTTAGGTCGTGTTGGACAGTTTTCTGTCGCGTTGGGTCGTGTTGGACAGTTTTGTGTCGCGTTGGGTCGTCGTGTTGGACAGTTTTGTGTCGCGTTGGGTCGTGTTGGACAGTTTTGTGTCGCGTTGGGTCGTGTTGGACAGTTTTGTGTCGCGTTGGGTCGTGTTGGACAGTTTTGTGTCGCGTTGGGTCGTGTTGGACAGTTTTGTGTCGCGTTGGGTCGTGTTGGACAGTTTTGTGTCGCGTTGGGTCGTGTTGGACAGTTTTGTGTCGCGTTGGGTCGTGTTGGACAGTTTTGTGTCTTCACAATAGTTTCCCTTGACAATAGTAATGACGATATCATCCTTGAACCATTATATATAACCCATTGGTCGTCTTGTTACTCCGAGTAAGAACGCGTCAATTACCCACAAGGCGAATTGACAGTTACGTCCCGCCGCCCATAATTGGCGATGAGCCTGATGGCCTCCAATATGCGCTTGTACCTTAATGGGAAGCCCTTGTTAGCGGTCTGAGCGGCGAATGAGGTCGTTAATGATTTAACTAACGCCGTAAGGAAGATGATCTATGGTTGTTAACCCTTGTATGTTATAGTTAAGTCTCAGGGGAGGTTATGGTTGTGGTTTGGGAGCAGTGAAGCCCGTGTGCTACCTCTAACCGCCCTATTGGCCATCGTGGGGTGGTTGGTAACTACCGTATTGTTAATATGGGATCGAAAAAGGCCTAACGAGAAAACTGTAGATTGTGAGACTGGTTAATTGATGGACCATGAGCAACTGTATGTGGCTGGATGCGAACCCTGAGAGTAACTGTACCTGGTGGGATGCGAACCCTGAGAGTAACTGTACCTGGTGGGATGCGAACCCTGAGAGTAACTGTACCTGGTGGGATGCGAACCCTGAGAGTAACTGTACCTGGTGGGATGCGAACCCTGAGAGTAACTGTACCTGATGGGATGCGAACCCTGAGAGTAACTGTACCTGGTGGGATGCGAACCCTGAGAGTAACTGTACCTGGTGGGGTTCTTCTCTTAAATTAAACATTAATAGGAAAGCAAAGGAGCTGTACTGTATTTAGATACTATATCTGTAGGACATGATTATCTCTCTAAAGGCTGGAGGCCAGAAGCTAGAGACCAGCCTCACGGAACTTTGCATTGTGATTGGTGATTGTATGGAGAGGTTCATAGAGAGGTTGGGGGTCGACCCCCATGCCCCCTCTTAAAGAGAATTGGCTCCAATTGCGACAACATAAATTTCTTTGATGCCTGAAGTGTGGGTTTGGTTGTCCATCGAGTGTTATGAAACAGATCCTTCAGTTGTTATCGACGTCGAATCAACGTTCTCGACGTTGATTGAGTATAGTTTACCCTCGGGAGAGAAAATGAGATGGAGGTAGAGCGGGAGGGAGGGAGGGAGGGAGGGAGAATGGGAAGAGAAAGAGTGGGAGGGAGAGAATGGTGATGAAGAGAAGGAGAAGGGAAAAGAACGAGGGAGAATTAATGGAAGGGAGTATTGAAGGAAGTTTGGGAGAATAGAATAGAATGTGAATAAATTGGAGGGAAAGAGAATGGAAGGGAGGGAGGGAGAGGGAATGCAAGAAAGGGAGGAAGGAAGAACGAAGAAAGGGTGGGAGGGAGAATGGGATGGGAGAGAGGGAGAGAGAGATAACTAGTGTGTGCTGAGCGGTGTATCAGTGTATATACACTGAGAGTCACCATTAGCCCTGGAGTATTCTTGCTGATGCTCAGTAAGCTGTTGTGCTGATCTTAAAACTCTCTACAGCTTGATAACTATCAACCAATCTTAAAAAATCCTGGAACCCGAAGCTCGACCGAAGAAAGATAATCGCCCAATCACTCAATTTAACATTCCCCATTTTAGAAACCCCCATCTGACGAACCTAACATTACAGGAATCTGAAAAAAACCCAGAATGGATGACATTGTAACGGTTAAATTACACTCCAGCGTCAGTAAGAAAGTCATTTCGTCTTTATTTAAAATCTAGGGAGCTGGATTTTTTTTTATTAACATATTAGGTACATCTGAATTAGTGCAGCTGCCCTAGACTATATGAAGTGGAGTACAGTGTGTCAAAAAAGCTAACTAGGTGATGCTAAGAAATCCCCATCACACAGGATGGTTAGTCATACAGAGGCATGTGATAAGCGGTCTGCACTGGCAGACTCCGGATGCATTTTGAGGATATCATCAACACAAGATTGAATAAGGTAGCAGTGGTAATACAAGTCCCCATCTCGCAGGATGGTTAGTCATACAGAGCCATATGTTTAATAGCCTGCACTGGCAAATTTTGGGTATACTGTGAGGATATCTTCAAGAATACGAGAGTGAATAACGTAATTACAAAGCTCCAGGTACCTCATGCCAACTGGTCTGAAAGGTCTAATAACTGGACATTCAGTGATGTAGTGCGGGAGATCATGCCGTAGTTCCTGCTCACAGAGTTTGCAACTGGAGTGCTCAGGATTGGGAGACCCGTCACCTGCAGCCACCTGCCACAGGTAACGGTAACCCAACCTGATCCTTGCAACCACTGTGTCGCACAGTCTGGTGGACGTTTTGTGCTGTCCATAGATGTAGCTTTCAGATCTGAACAAATCATAGCTTTTTATACTAGTACTTTCAGGTCGTTGGGAGTCAGTAAGTTCTTTCCTATCAGATCTGAATGTTTGGACCAATACAGTTTTGACAGCAGAGATGGGGATACCCAGATCTAATTCAACTTCAGACTTGTTACACGCTAATTTGGCGGAGTGCGTGAGGAGAGTAAATCTACGGTAGTGACGACCCATGTTTCAGTATCAGCGACGGGCTGTGTAAAAACACTCTGATGTTTGTAATACTATGTTTATGCTCTCAAGACAGTGCTGTGAGCAGCGTGGGACCTCCTGCTCCCAACCACGTGCTCATTCCACCCTTGCTCCCCCTCCTGGTTCTATTTCACCGTGAAGCTAAACTGCTTTCAACACCATTTCGTCTTAAAGTTGTCAAGTTTGTCGTTAAGTGATACTGGATGGTTATGGGGCGAGGAAGGGTGTTGGTCTTGTGGGTGTGGAAGTGGTGTTGTGTGGCGGTGTGTGGTAACTGTGGCGGCCCCACGCGGTCTGGGGCAGCGCCAGCGAGGTTAGTGTTCCCCGCGCGGGCTGGCTGAGAGGAGGTCGGTGTGCTCGCTCTCGCCACAGTTCCCTCCTCACACGGGGACAGTCTATCCTTACTTCTCGTGTTCCTATGACTTGAAATATTATATAGTGTTCCCATGTCTTAGTGGATTTATATGTAGTTTTTCTTTTTATATATTTTAGTATTTTCGCATTCAAATTAATTTTTTTTAAATACTTTGTGAATGAGATTTCATCAAACCGTCTCGTTAAAGTTCAACTGAATTATCTGCTCAGGTGATTCAAAATTTTAAACCAGATCTCCAATTCAGTCTAATTGGCTTTGTACAAAAGACCTGCAATCAATTGTTGTGATTTCCGGAAACTGGTTGTGACTGTGAGTTGAACTGTGAACACTGGTTGTGACTGTGAGTTGAACTATGGGTAACGGTGAGTGAACCTCACGTGAGTACGGTGACTTCTTCATCCCTGAGTGACTCTACGCGGGTGAGTGCCGGACACAGTTTTATTGAGACTTTATTTTATTGTGGGATTATTGGTATAAATATTAGCTTTCCATTATAAAAATGGGGAGTGAAAGATGTATTGTTTTGTTATATTTATACTTTATTAGACGGGGCAAGGGAAGATGTGCAGGTGACACTGTCTGCTGTAGGTGACACTGTCTGCTGTAGGTGACACTGTCTGCTGTAGGTGACACTGTCTGCTGTAGGTGACACTGTCTGCTGTAGGTGACACTGTCTGCTGCAGGTGACACTGTCTGCTGCAGGTGACACTGTCTGCTGCAGGTGACACTGTCTGCTGTAGGTGACACTGTCTGCTGTAGGTGACACTGCTGTAGGTGACACTGTCTGCTGTAGGTGACACTGTCTGCTGTAGGTGACACTGTCTGCTGTAGGTGACACTGTCTGCTGCAGGTGACACTGTCTGCTGTAGGTGACACTGTCTGCTGTAGGTGACACTGTCTGCTGTAGGTGACACTGTCTGCTGTAGGTGACACTGTCTTCTGCAGGTGACACTGTCTGCTGTAGGTGACACTGTCTGCTGTAGGTGACACTGTCTGCTGTAGGTGACACTGTCTGCTGTAGGTGACACTGTCTGCTGCAGGTGACACTGTCTGCTGCAGGTGACACTGTCTGCTGTAGGTGACACTGTCTGCTGTAGGTGACACTGTCTGCTGTAGGTGACACTGTCTGCTGTAGGTGACACTGTCTGCTGTAGGTGACACTGTCTGCTGTAGGTGACAGTGTCTGCTGTAGGTGACACTGTCTGCTGTAGGTGACACTGTCTGCTGTAGGTGACAGTGTCTGCTGTAGGTGACAATGTCTTCTGCAGGTGACACTGTCTGCTGTAGGTGACACTGTCTGCTGTAGGTGACACTGTCTGCTGTAGGTGACACTGTCTGCTGTAGGTGACACTGTCTGCTGTCGGTGACACTGTCTGCTGTTGGTGACACTGTCTGCTGTCGGTGACACTGTCTGCTGTAGGTGACACTGTCTGCTGTAGGTGACACTGTCTGCTGTAGGTGACACTGTCTGCTGTAGGTGGCAGTGTCTGCTGTAGGTGAAACTGTCTGCTGTAAGTGCCAGTGTCTGCTGTAGGTGACACTGTCTGCTGTAGGTGACACTGTCTGCTGTCGGTGACACTGTCTGCTGTCGGTGACACTGTCTGCTGTAGGTGACACTGTCTGCTGTCGGTGACACTGTCTGCTGTAGGTGGCAGTGTCTGCTGTTGTAGGTGACACTGTCTGCTGTAGGTGAAACTGTTTGCTGTAGGTGGCAGTGTCTGCTGTAGGTGACACTGTCTGCTGTAGGTGACACTGTCTGCTGTAGGTGAAACTGTCTGCTGTAGGTGACACTGTCTGCTGCAGGTGACACTCTGCTGTAGGTGACACTGTCTGCTGCAGGTGACACTGTCTGCTGTAGGTGACACTGTCTGCTGTAGGTGACACTGTCTGCTGTAGGTGACACTGTCTGCTGTAGGTGACACTGTCTGCTGTAGGTGACACTGTCTGCTGTAGGTGACAGAGACCACAGACAAAAAAGGTCTTTAGTTAAAGCTAGACAGGTAATATATTGAATTAAAAATATACATTTAATACACTTTACAAATCATAAAGAAACTGTTGCTTGAACTGTGAGTGGATGAGCTCAGTGTGTCCCAAGTAACAGTGATGTACTCATACTGACTGTTGCATTGAGTGACCGTGTATAGTGACTGTTGTCTACTGTGACCTTATAGTAACTGTTGTCTACTGTGACCTTATAGTAACTGTTGTCTACTGTGACCTTATAGTGACTGTCTACTGTGACCTTATAGTGACTGTCTACTGTGACCTTATAGTAACTGTTGTCAACTGTAACCTTTTAGTGACTGTTGTCTACTGTGACCTGTCTCTCTCTCTCTCTCTCTCTCTCTCTCTCTCTCTCTCTCTCTCTCTCTCTCTCTCTCTCTCTCTCTCTCTCTCTCTCTCTCTCTCTCTCTCTCTCTCTCTCTCTCTCTCTCTCTCTCTCTCTCTCTCTCTCTCTCTCTCTCTCTCTCTCTCTCTCTCTCTCTCTCTCTCTCTCTCTCTCTCTCTCTCTCTCTCTCTCTCTCTCTCTCTCTCTCTCTCTCTCTCTCTCTCTCTCTCTATGTCTCTCTCTCTCCTTCCTGAGCTCATCTGAAGGCTGACGTTTGTAATCATTTAAGTCACATAACGTTTGTTTCAAGACGGAACGAACTTTCGTTTGATACTTAGTCCCGTCCAAGTGGCTGGGCACCATTCCTTCCCTCCGTCCCATCCCACATCCTTATCCTGACTCCTTCCCAGTGCTATATAGTCGTAATGGCTTGGTGCTTTCCCCCTGATAGTTCCTTTCCCTTGATGAAGTCATGCAGATATGAAGATAAAACTGAAACAGGCAGACTGGCAGAGCTTCCACATGACTGGCAGAGCTTCCACATGACTGGCTGCTATAAGAACGTGTTCTATACGCAATTTAGTCTAGGAATTAATGACCGCTGATAAGGTGACATTTTATTTTAGAAAGCCGTAACCAGCATGAGGCTGTTGATGGCTGCGTGTCTTGTGCTGCGGTAGCCAACTCCTGATTGTCCACGAGGTTGGACCAGGTGTGGAATTTTGAGGATAATGGCTGTATAGGTGACAGTTTTTTTTATCTAGGACCATCCCCAAGATCTCTTTCTTTATCAGAAGTCTTTAAAGATTTCTCACATAATTTATAGGTTGTGTGGGATCTATGTTCTCTTTTTCCACATTCCATAACATGGCATTTATTCACATTCAATTCCATTTACCAAGTGGTGCTCCATATACTTATTTTGTCCAGGTCTTCTTGAAGGGCATGATAATCATCTAAGTTTCTTATCTTCCCTATGATCTTAGCATCATCAGCAAATAGGTTCATATGATTTTGTATTCCATCTGGTAGATTGTTTATGTAGACAATGAACATTACCGGTGCAAGAACTGAACCCTGTAGTACTCCACTTGTGACATTTCTCCAGTCTGATACATTGCCTCTGATTACTGCCTTCATTTTTCTATCAGAAATTTTTTCATCCATGTTAAAAGCTTTCCTGTCACCCCTCCAATATGTTCCAGTTTTTAGAACAACCTCTTATGTTTAACTCTGTTGAAAGTCTTTTTTAGGTTCAGATAGATGCAGTCACCCCAGCCATTTCTTTCCTGTAAAATCTGTGGCTCGATCATAGAAACTGAATAAATTCGTTACACAGGATCTCCCAGAGCGAAAACCATACTGACTATCTATTACATCGTTTTTCTCCAGGTGTTCTACCCCATTTATTTTTAATTATTTTTCCCAATATTTTGACTATTACACTTGGCAATGATACAGGCCTATGATTGAGAGGGTCTTAAATGCTGCCACTTTTGTAGATTGGAACTATGTTAGCCTTTTTCCACGCATCTGCTACAACTCCTGTACACAGGGATGTCTGAAAAATCATTTGAAGTGGAATGCTGACCTCAGGTGCACATTCTCTCAGAACCCATGGTGAAACTCCATCTGGGCCTACTGCTTTGTTCTTACTTAGCTCCTTAAGAATTTTGTTCACTTCTTCTCTAGACACCTCTATGTGCTCTATGTTGTTCTCTAGAATTCTTACTGTGTCTGGTTCCCTGAAGATTTCATTTTGTACAAACACACTTTGGAACTTTTCGTTTAATGTTTCATGCATTTCCTTTTCATTTTCAGTGAATCTGTTTCCCATTTTCAACCTCTGAATATTATGCTTTACCTGCAATTTGTTGTTTATGAATTTATAGAATAGACCTGGTTCTGTTTTACATTTTTCTGCTATCCCTTTCTCAAAGTTCCTCTCTGCCTCTCTCCTCACTCTTGTGTAGTTGTTTTTCGCATCTTTGTATCGCTGGTATGTTTGGGGGTTTGGCCTCTTCCTTCCTATATTGATTCCATTTTTATGTATTTTTGGTCTCTGGTCCTCTCGCAATTCTGTTGAACCAATCCTGTTTCCTGGTTCTGCATCTCTGCTTTGCTATAAGTTGTGTTGTGCCTTTATTATATATTTCACAAAACTTGACATACATCTCATTTACTTCCATGTCCTAACAACAAGTCTTTCGAGTCAAATTCCTGAAAGAAATGTCTAAGTTCCCCATAATGTCCTCTCTTGAAATCAGGTTTTTCAACTGCTTCAACCTCCTTGTAATGAGGTGTGTGTGTACTTACCTAGTTGTGCTTGCGAGGGTTGAGCTCTGGCTCATTGGTCCCGCCTCTCAACTGTCACTCAACTGGTGTACAGATTCCTGAGCCTACTGGGCTCTATCGTATCTACATTTGAAACTGTGTATGGAGTCTGCCTCCTCCACATCATTACTTAATGCATTCCTTTACTAACTACTCAGACACTCAAAAAAAATTCTTTCTAATGTTTCTGTGCCTCATCTGGGTACTAGGTTTCCACCTGTGTCCCCATGTTCGTGTTCCACCCGTGCTAAAGAGTTTGTCTTTGTCCACCCTGTCAATTCCCCCTGAGAATTTTGTAGGTGGTTATTATGTCTCCCCTTACTCTTCTGTTTTCCAGGGATGTGAGGTTTAGCTCCCTTAGCCTTTCTTCATAGCTCATACCTCTCAGTTCCGGGACTAGTCTGGTGGCATACTTCTGAATCTTCTCTTAACTTTGTCTTGTGTTTAACTAGGTATGGACTCCAGACTGGAGCTGCATACTCCAGGATTGGTCTGACCTATGTAGTATACAAGGTTCTGAATGATTCTTTATACAAGTTTCTAAAGGCAGTTCTTATGTTGGCCAATGTAACATACGCTGCTGATACTCGTTTGGTGTGGGCCTCTGGGGACAGGTTCGGTGGAGTATCAACCCCCAGATCTTTCTCTCTATTTGACTCTTGCAGGATATCACCTCCCAGATGGTACATCGTGTTCAGGGTTCTGCTCCCTTTGCCTAATTTCATTACTTTACACTTTCTTGAGTTGAACTTT